GACCCAGGTTCATTTCCTAGCACCCACATGACAGCAAACAATCATCTGTAGTTCCAGTCCGAGGGGAATCTGCTGCCTTCTTCTGGCCTCTACGAACATTGCATGATATGAGTGCACTTACATACATGCAGGCAAAACACTCGCATGCATAAAATAAAAATAAATCGAACCATTAAAAAAGTTTTATTTGTATTTTGTGTGTGTGCGTGTGTGTGTGTTGGCTGCATGTAAATGTGTGATGTATACCACATGCATGACTAGTGACAGTGGAGGCCAGAAGAAGGCAGCAGATTCCCCTCGAACTGGAACTACAGATAGTTGGTGGTTAAATGCTTTGTGGGTGCTGAGAACTGAGCCTGGGTCTTCTGCAAGAGCCAGCTCTCCAGCCCCAGCACTGTTATTTTATTTCTAAACAATTTTGTATGATGCTATAGATAAGGTCTAGAACATGTTTTCTTTAACATGGGGTAAAATTTAAACGGTACAAGTTTTATCCTCCTAATAAGGAGCAGTTTTTCCACTCCAGGTCAGAAATCAGAGCACATAAGTGTTGGTAAATAATAGACAAATTTTATTCCTCTGCTTTGGATTTAATTGGAATTTTCTCATTTTTGAGGCAGAGTCTCACATAGCCCAGGCTGGCCTGAAACTTGCTATGGGACTGAGGATGAATTTGAATTTTTGAACCTCCTGCATCTTATTTCCTAAGTGACTGGATTACAGGTATGTAAAACTATGCCCATTTCAGAACTATTTATTAATTGAAATTAAGACTATTTCAAATTTCAATCTGAACCTGAGAACATGAGAAGGAGACGTAGAAACAAAATGGGGGAAGCATCCTGTTGCTTTGATCTTGTTTTCTTCACTTGACACAGTTCTGCCCACATTGCTGGCATTTTCTGCTGAACTGGGCCTTTCAATAGTGAAGGCACTTAAATGCTGACCCTGGATTCAGAGACATGATATAAAAATATATGAACATAACAGGAATTAAGTATAATGCTATTTCAACATTTTAGATTATTTTATGCAAAGGAATAAAAAAAAACCCTTATGCCTCAGACCACAAAGGAAAAATAATTATAGCACAAAGAAACACATTTCTAGTATTTAATTACTTATATAAGATGTTAAATTTATGTAAGTACTTAGTGTGTGTGGTCTCTCTCTCTCTCTCTCTCTCTCTCTCTCTCTCTCTCTCTGACAGGCACTCACCAGAGTGCATAAGTGGAGGTCAGAGTTCTCTCTTTCCAGGTTGTTGAGGCAGGATCTCTCTTGTTCCTGCTGGTGCAGGCTAGCCACTGACCAGCTGCCTTGAGATTCTCCTGTCTGCCTCCATCTCCCAGTCACAGTGCTGGGATTACAGGTGGAACTCAGGTCTTCAAGGCTTCGTATGGCAAGGACTTCTACCAACTGAGCCTCTCACTGGCCTTGACACAATATTTTGAACATTAATGTGGAGATATTCAGACTTCTACAAAGAGTGAATATGTGCAGCCATACCAGGGCCATGCCAGTTCGTAGCACATTAGTTTCACACCTTCTTCCAGGATCTTATTCCGTTAAAAAGCATCCCAGAAGGCATCTAATTGTGCCTCTAAACACTATATCTTCACTTTTTAAAGAAAGCTTTTTCTTTGCTACAGTATCTTAGCAAGCCTTCTTCATTATCATCAGGTATTAAGTCAATATTATACTTCCTAAATACGTATTTATTTATATTTATGGTACTGGGGATAGAACCAGAGCCTCATACAGCTTGAGTAAGTACTCTACTGCTGAGCAACAGGCCGAATACTTCCCTACAACCTATTAAATATGCTGCTTGAATCAACTTTGGGTGAAACAGTTTTGTGCTCATTGCATCATATTTGTTCGTGATTTAATTTCATTGTATCCTACAGAAACCCTCTCTCTTTTATGTCACAATATTTTGTTTCATGGGCTGGGGATATAGCTCATTTGGTAGAGTCCTTACCTAGCCTGCACAAAGTCCTGGATTCAAGTCCCAGTCCTGCATAAAACTGGGCATGTGGTCCCAGCGTTTGGGAGACAAAGGGAGATGGGTCAGAAGTTCATTGTCAACCTTTGCTACATAATGAAGATGAAGCTCTCCTGGCTTAAATAAGACTTTAAAAAAGCTAATAAAATAGGGGCTGGAGAGATGGCTCAGTGATTAGGAGCACTGGCTGCTCTTTCTGAGGACCTGGGTTCAGTTCCCAGAACCCACATGGTGGCTAACAACCATCCTTACATACCCATAATTCTAGCACAAGAAGTTGAGGCAGGAAGACTGAGTTCAACACCTTCCTAGGCTTCTTAGTATTTTGTCTCAAAAACACAAAAACCCAAAATTTGTTTCACAAAAGAGGTCATTTATCTTGAACAATTTATCATATCCTGAGTTGGCTTCCTGCCTCCTTGTGGTATCTTTTAACGTGATTTTTTTCAACATAGTTTCTTAAATATTTTTGCTTATGGCAAGTGTGTGTGTAGGCCAGAGTTTGATGTTGGGTATCTTCCTCAATTGCCCTACACCTTACACATCAAAGCAGAGTCTCTGAATGAGCGCTGAGGCTGCTGATGCCCATAGTCTAGCTAAGCAGCTTGCCACAGGCATGCCCCATTTCTGTATTCCCAGGGCTGGGATTGTAGGTGGGATGCCATCACCCACCTGGCATTCATGTGGGTTGCTGGGGTTCCAAACTCTGGTTCTCATGCTTGCAAGGTGAGCACTTTCCCCACGAGCTGTCTTCCCAGCCCCTAATCTACGTATTCTGAGATTCAGATAAGATCATTCACATGTGTTCATGTGTACTACTTTCCATTTCTTGTTCTGTCAAATGAACACATTTCATCTCCTCTCTATTCTTGTGACATTATAGTCAGTGTAATCAGTAGGACACAGCATTATCAGGCAGATCCACATGTCATGAATTCACCATTAACTTGCCTCCCAAAGAGTACGGCAGCCACTGATGCTTACTGTCTGCACACGTGATAGATGGGTTGTCCAGGGAAGTCCTCCATTTCCCTTCATGAGGTGGAAAATATCTACAAAAGAGAGAAACTTACCAGAAAAATAGTTCTGCTACCAAGAAAGAGCTTGATCTTTTCCATTATTTGGAGCTTTATCATTCCTCCAATGTGAGTTTTGCTTTTGGCTTATAAGGTTCAGTGGGGTTTCTCCAGTGTGTTTATGATACTGGTGTTTGAACCCAGGGTCTTGTGCACTGTAACTAAATGATCTATTGCTGAGCTGCAGACCAGCCCTCAGTTGTTTTTAATGTGTAATTTCCATATATTTGTTTTAGTCCATTAAAGATATTATTTATTCTACGGATAGCCCATTGTGATAGGGTCTCCTTGTAGCCCCAGCTGGCCTGGAACTCACTGTGTAAGCCAGACTGGCCTTGAAATCACAGAGATCCACCTCCTCTGCCTCCCGAGTGCTGGGACTAAAGCTATGTGTCACCACGCCCAGCAAATAGCCCATCTTTTGCTATTGGGATTCTTCTATAATAACTTTTCATTCACATATATCTGATGGTCTTTCTGCCTTCTTTGGTTTCTTGGGCAAGAGGTTCTGAATCTATTCCTATACCTCCTGCCTCAATGCACATTCAGCTATTTTTTCAGGAAGTTTGGTTGCTTTTAGCAAAATGGTATTTAATTTGGGTATAGTGGCTCATGCCTGTGATTCCAACATTCCAGAGGCTGAGGCAGAGACAGGAGAATTGCCAGATTCAAGGTCAGCTGGGCTACTCAGTGATGACTTGTCTCAACTAACTCCCCCAAATGTATTTAAAGGCCATGATATATGATATATGTAGCACATATAGTATGCATTTATAAGTTACTTGTTATAACAATTTATGTTACTTGCATAATATTATCTAAATCTTTTATTCAATTATTTATGTAGAATTATGCTCAATTCTTTTTAAATTCAATGTTAATATCATTGCTTAAGGATTAACTCAGCTATAAAGTTAAGCTTTTTAAAAAGTTAATACTTAGGTTTATGAATTGTATTTGACATTTACTTTGATATTGTATTTTTAAATATGCTTTTTTATATTTTTATTTATTTTAGTGTGTGTGTGTATATGTGTTTTTTGGTGTGTGTGAGATCAGAAGATAACTTGCAGAAGTCAGTTTTCTCCTTCCACCATGTGGGTCTTGGGGATAGAAGTCAGGCTTGGTTGTAAGATTTTTATTCACTGAACTGTCTTGTGGCCCCCAAATATATATATTTCTAAATCAAAGCAAAAAGTGAGATATACTTCTGGAAGCCTGGCTTCATACTGTCCCTTCTGCACATTTTCTCTCTCAAAGGGCCTGCATTACAGGTATTTATTTACTCTAATTTTCAAATACAAACACTTATTTATTTATTATTTATTATATAGTTTTAAATGTATGCGTATCTAGCCTGCATGTATGTAAGCGTACCTATATTGTACAATGGCCACAGAGGCCAGAACAGGGCATTGAATTCCCAGGAACTAGAGTTACAAATTATGGTTAGTCCTCCACACTGGTGCTGAGAACCAAGCCCAGGACCTACCTCTGCAAGAGCAGCCAGGGTTCTTAAGCGCTGAGCCATTTTTCCAGCCGGGATGATTACTTTATAAGGATATAAGAACAGGGACATGTGCAATCTCTTATTCCTCTGTTGTGTTAATAATGTTTCCCCTGGAAGGGTAGCAGTCAACAGGACTTCCCCATCTTATCTACAGCTGTGCAACCATCAACTTGGTAATGCCGAGACCATTCATCCTTTCATTGAATGGGATGGATAGCATCCAGGTTTTGTGGCTAAAAAATAACAATGTAAGCAGTCCCTGGGCACTTACAAAAGATCTGTTCTTAATGTTTATATTCAGATAAAATGGGATTTGTGAGAAAAGATATTTCTAGAAGTAGTAAGAGCCAGACCCCATCTCCATGTTCTTCTGATTCAACTAAAATCAAACACTAACTTCAACAAACGGATGCATTGGTGTCTCTTTAACTTGTCCTGGGGTGTGATGCTTCTCATTCAGACCACTGCTGGAATCATTGCAAATACTTTGCTCTTTTGTCTGTAAAACTTTTCATTGCTCACAGCACAACTGGTGAGACCCACAAACCTGGTTGTCAATCAGCTGGTCATATCCAACTATTTGGTTCTTTTCTCCAAAGGCCTCCCTCAGACAGTTGTAACTTTTGGCTTGAAATCTTTCCTGGGTGACACGGGATGTAAAGTTATCTTCTATGTATACAGAGTGTCCAGAGGAGTCTCCCTCAGCACCACCTCCCTCCTCAGTGGCTTTCAGGTCATTAAAGTTTGCTACAATACTTCCGGGTGGGCGGGGACCAGGATTAGACCCCCAGCGCATATTGATGCCTGCTGTTTCCTCTGCTGGATCCTGCACCTCCTGCTAAATATCATTATTAGTATGAATGTAACTGGTCCAGTGAACAGCAAAAACCTGAGTGCTGAAGGACTCTACAGATACTGTTCCTCGCCTGTTCCTGAAAGACTGACATTCCTCATAACAGCAGTGATTTGCTCCCTTGTTGATATTACAAGCCTTGGTCACATGGCCTGGGCCAGCGGCTCCATGGTCCTTGTCCTGCACAGGCACAAGCAGCGAGTTCCTCACATTCACAGCCACAGCCTCTCCCAAAGACCTTCCCATGAGGACAGAGCCACCCACACCATCCTGGTCCTGGTGAGCATGTTTATCTCCTTTTACTCTCTAGCTTCCATCTTCTCACTTTGCATAACCCAGACTGTGAACCCAAGCCACTGGATGCTGAACACCGCTGTGCTGCTGTCTTTGGGCTTCCCAGCACTCAGCCCCCTTGTGCTCAGTTTTAAGGATACTCGAGCCTCACACTTCTACTTTTTCAGTTGGACAAGGAAAACAAATGGTCCAGCTGTAGTCTCTGGGCTTTGAGTTCCCTCCAGGACATCCCAACCTATTTGATCACTTATCCTCAATATTTTCCCCAATGTTACACTCTTTAATCTGTAAAAAGAAACTTTGGGATTTGCTATTGAATAAAAATGGTAATTATTGCTTCATACTTCTTATTAAACTGGCAAAAAGTAAGCTCAGTATAAAAATTAGACAAATGTATGACTATTCCTAGAAAACATTGTCGTAGAATTACTACTGAAGCCTGGAGTTTCAGCACTGCAAAGCTGAGGATTTGAAGCTCACGTCCATCCTTAGCCGCTTAGCCAATTAAATGCCAGCCTGGGCTGTCTGAGGCCCTGTTTCAAAAACAATTACCTTTTAATTTATTAATTCAGTTGTTTCTTTTTTAATACATGTGTTTATTGAATGTTTGCATTTCATACAATACATCCCCTCCCTTATCTGCACCCTAATAGCCCCCCACACTGGTTTCATGCATTCTGTCATATATGTTAAGGCCTATCAAGTTAAGTTTGTGTCCCCAGATGTCCCTTGGTGTGAGTTCATCCACTGGAGCCTGGTCAGCCTATCCAGCATCTTTCCTTTAAGGAAGATCAATTCTTCCTCACCCAGCATTGATCAATTGCCTTTAGAGTCTTTGCTAAGATTGGGGTTTCTTGCTAACTCCCCCAGCTCTATGCTGGGTTTTTGTCTGATTGAGTTTCCATGGGTCTTGTGCATGCTGACACCATTGCTTTAAGTTCATATGAGCAAGTTCCAAGAAGCCTGGAAAACTCCATTTCTCATGTTCATCCACTAAACTTGGGTCTTACAATCTTTCCACGCCCTTTTCCATAATGACCTCTGAGCATTGGGTGGGTGCGGTTTAATATAGGTGTCTTATTTCTTGGTGTGCTGGCACACACCTGTAATTCTAAAACTCAGGAGGCAAGGTCATCCTAAGCTGCATATTAAGTTCAAGGCTAATTTAGGTGACATGAATCATTGTCTGAAAAAGCAAGAAGAAGAAAGCAAATCAAAAACCAATTTGGCAGTTCTACTGTATGTCCTTGAAAACAAGGATGTCAGCAGAGTTTATAGAATTTTCACCACATTCCGAGGGTAAAACAACTGAAATGTCAGCAGATGGGAAAACAAAATTTAGTATATACGTTGCACTAAGTGAAGTAAGCCAGATAAAAGGTTAAATAAATAATCCCATGTGTATTTGGTACCTAAAATAATGTCATGGAGACAAGAAATAAAACAGTGATTCAGCAGGGGTCAAAGACGTGGGGTTAAGACGTTAGTGTTTAATTTACATAGCTACATTTTTGCATGATGTAACATTTCTAAAGACAGGTGGCGATGAAGGATGCACAATGATAAGAATGTACTTAATGGTACTGAACTGTGAATTAAATTAGCAAAGAGCTAAATTTCATGCTATGTATATTTTGCTATAATAAAAAGACAATTAATAATTACTAAAAAATTGAATGCAGTTGTCAGTAGTTCCTTGGTTAAGGTTGGGACCTGCTGCCCATTTCCCCAGTTCTATGTTGGGTTTTTGTCTGACTGAGTCAGCATGGATCTTGTGCACGCTGTCACCATTACTGTTAGTTCACGTGAGCAAGTTCCCAGAGGCCTGAAATTCTCTGTTTCCTTCTGTTCATGCACTTACCTTGGCTCTTACAATCTTTTGGGTTACTGCTGACTGAGGGAGAGTTGATTTTCTTTAAGGAAATATCTTAAATATTCTTTTAATATCTTAGTATCTCTTTTCTAGATAGACTGACTAGGCTCCAGTGGCTGAACTTGCACTGGGGGACAAGTGAGCACAAAACCTTGATCAGAGAGGCCTTAACACAGATGACAGAATGCATGAAATCCGGTGGGGTGGGCTATGGAGGGCGTGGATGGGACAGGGGGTCTAAATATGATTAAGGGTTATTGTATGAAATGCACAGACTCAAGAAAATATTCATTAAAATAAAAATAAAAAATCAAATGTAGTTGTCTCTTGGAAGGGGCGCATCATCCCCTCTTCCCTACAATATTACAATGTGAAGCTTGTGAAGACTTTTCAAAGCAAGTGCTTTAAATCTATGTAATTTATCAAATCATTGTTAACAATTTTTTATTACAGAATCTTCATGTGGTTTTTGATAACTGGACTTAATGTGCAAGATGTGTTTTATTCTAGATCTTGTATGAAAAAGACTGTAGAAATGATAGAAGTTTGGTCCATTCCTTTAACTTCAATGCTTCGTGATGCTCAGTGCTACTTCAGTATAGATATGAGCACATTTTGTGGGGATACAGACCTTCTGTTCTACAGTCTTCTCCATCCTTCCACTCATTTTCCTTTATACTGCCTTCTACTAGCTTCTGTGTTCCCAGCAACATTAATGTGCATCCAGCTCACCCTCGGGGCCAATAGCATTCACCACTGGTGGTGTAACAGTGGATGTCCCATGTAACTGAAAGCTGTACAAATAAAATTTGCATAATTGGGGCCAGGAGAGATGGCTCAGTGGTTTAAGAGCTTTTGCTGACATCCACATCAGGTTGTCTCGAACATCACCTGTGACTCTAGTCCTCGGGGATTCATTGGACTTTTCTGGATTCCTAGGGCACTTGTATGCTTTGTGGTGCTCATACATATACTCAGAAAGAGAGAGAGAGAAGGAGAGAGAGAGAGAGAGAAGTTTCTTGTCTTTGGAGAGTGGCGGTAGCCAGCCAGCCATCTTTGGTTCAATCAGACCGTAGAAAGTAATACAACTTCTATTTAATTAATCATTTGCTTAAATATGACTTTAGTTCAAATTTGGGGACATACATTAGGCTCTATAGGCCTTATTATATATAATAGAGTCCATTAAATTGGGTGAAGAGCAATAAAGTGAAGTACAGATAGGGGAGAGGATCTGAATACAATAAAAATATATTGTATGAAAAGCACAAAAACTCAATAAGAAAAAAGTCAGCAGGTATAAAAGATAACTATTTAGTAGTAAACTTGTATTTGGTTCTTCCCTATGTCCTGTGACCTGTCTAGCCTCAGGTTCCTAAGCCTGAAGAGAATAGTGAGAAAGACAGTGCGTTTCACATAGACATATAGGGTCAGGTGGATTTCTAAGATGATAATGTTACATTGGAAAATCTTTCTTCAGAAGGCAGTAATTATCAGAGGCTTTTGATTTTCTGCCCTCAATAGAACAGTCTGACATTTTATTGTTTAAAAATTTCAATGTATTGTAGATGTATCACTTAGGGCTGGGCAACTCACAGTCACTTATTCTCTGCATTTGACCAGTTGTGGAATTTTGTAATAGTCCCCATCTGTTGCAAGAAAAAACTTCTTTGATGAGTGGTGAGAGCTACACTGGTCTGTGAATATCAGGATACATATTTAGAACACAGCAAGAAATTACGTTGCTTTAATTTTGTATGTAGTATATATGCTTGCCTGTGTGTATGTATGTGCACTGCATGGGTGCAGGTGCCCACAAAAGCTAGAAGAGAACATCAGATCTCCTGGAACTGGAGTTAGAATCAGTTGTACGCAACCAAGAGAATGCTGGGAACCGAATCCAGGTCCTTTGCAAGAGCAGCAAGTGTTCTTTACCATTGAGCTGTTTCCCCAGCCCTTCTTTACTTAAAAGAAAATCAGTAACTAAATTACACCTCAAAATATTCTTGAATTTTTGCTTAACTAAGTACAGTTAATAAATGAAAAATATGCCTGCTGAAGCAAAGTGCTTTCATTTATCTCTGTTTTGAAGTTTTTCAATCAGTCAGAATTAACTCAGTAGAGAAAATACCAGCCTCTCTGTTTTCTGTCCTCCTCAATTTTTGAACATTTCTATTATACCGTTGATAAGGTGGTTCTACACCAATATGTGAATAAGTCATTAATTATATTCAATGTACAATAATAGTGTTATGTAATTGTAACTTTTGAAAATGTTATAGGAGAATAAATCATCTTAAATAAATGCTGTCAAGTTTAGTTTAGAACTTTATATTTTGAGTCCACATCTGTTAGAAATCACAAATTTGCTCCAATTTTCCAACTTGTGAAAGAAAACAGTCCATATTGATAATCAAGTATTTAAACTCTCGAAATCCCTTTTCTTTTCCTCTGGGGACTTACTGAGAGCATTTTATGGGCAAGGGTTTTTGCTTGTCTTTGTCATTTAAAGGACACACAGACAGACACAGACACAGACATACAGACACACAGAAAAATTTTGATACCTGACATGACTGTTGTCCCCATGAAATAACTGTATCTTTTGTCACCTGCACAAGACCTACCCAAGTTTGAGTCCATCACCATTTCATCATGCATGAGAGGACAGGCTTATGAACTCCCACCTCTCACTGAGAAACTAAGGACAGTTAATGGTTGTTGTTGGAGGGACTGTCTTTCTCTTCAGTGGTATAGATGCTGATAAGTTGCCTATGTTCCAGTAAATAACCCTCCACTCTTGCAAGACACCAAAATTAAACTCAGTTAATCACAAAAAATAAATAAAGACATGAAAGTGCTGGTGAGATTATTGACTAGGTCAAGGCACTTGCCACGAAGCCTTATGATTTGAGTTCAATCCCCAGGATCCACAAAGTGGAGGGAGAGAACTGACTCACGAAACTTGTCTTCTGACCACCACACAGGTGCTGTGACATGTATACATGCATGTATACACACCCAGATACGCCTAGGGAATAAACAAATATTTTCTGGAAAAAGACATGAAAATAGGAGATAGGGGAGGCTTGTTATGAAATGTTTCAGCAGGAGAGTGAGGGGGTAACAGAAGGTATCTGGGGGGGGTTAAAAATGACAAAAATTCTCTATATGTATGAAATTGTCAAAGAATTTTAAAGTGATTTTACAAAAGCATGTGTTTATTGGTCATAGGTTAGGGAGCCTAGAGTCCATTTGCTTTTTGTCCCCTTGTGGTGACCTCTACCTGTCTCAGATCTCATACTCCCAGGTCCTCTCTGTCCACTTCAGAGGGTAGATCCTCACTCATCCCATGACAACTCTAACTGCTGGCACAATCTCAGTGACTGGTAGGCAGGGCAAGACAAATCTCTCATCACAGGCAGGCACCTAGACTAAATGCAATCTTGAAGTAGGCCCCTGTTCTTGGCACCATCTTCTCTTGCTTCTTGGCCCAAGGAGTGCCCATGAACAATAGGATAGGTACAGGACACACAGGTGCTTCCACTGAGCTTTTAGGGACCTTGGAGATATCATTTTCGGAGAGCCGGGAAGACCATTCTGCTGGACTTGATTCTTCCCCTGCAGCTCACCCACACAAAACATGCAAACAATAAAATCAAAGAAGTCTTTATAAAGAGGTGCTTTTAGTAATAACTTTGGAAATGATGATATATTAGGTGTAAATGAGGGAGTAGCTTTAGGTTATCCAACATATATTATTGCAGGAAAGAATAACAAAGTACGTACCTGTGGATAAAAGGTGACTTGGTTTTACTAAGAAAATCATCTTAGGAACATGCTTGAGCAGATTGTTAAAAGCTTTAGATTAAGTTTAACAGAATTTGAACTTCATGAAGCAGACAGCGCCTTGAGCTAGTGGAGCCTCAGTGGGCTCTACATAGGAGTGTGAGCACAGAGCTTCTATAGACCTCAGACAGAGGCAAAGAAATGATGATTTGCTATTGTAGCTCAACCTTATTTGGGCATCATTTGATGAATTCGCTGCCTATGGCTGACTGAAATCTAACTGCTAATGATCTGCTGAAACTCAACCATTTGTTGTACTTATAAGTCAGGGCTTGGTTTTTTAATGTTATGTAATAGCACATGAAGTAGAAAGACAATCTCAGGCCAAGCCCCACCTGCTCATTTAGTTTAGCAATATAGATACACACACACACACACACACACACACACACGTGTGTGCACATGCACATGGCAGGAGATAGGAGAACTATTCATGTACAGCCATATTTCTAAAAGGATACAATATTACAATATCACAAAAGTTATTTAGAAATTGAAAAAAATCTGAGACTTAACACTCTATTTTATAATTTAGATAATGTGGTACGATAGTACCTTTTAAATAAATAATAGAAGACATTTCATAATATATTCTTCATGGTACTAAGAATTGAATCTAGGGGTTTTTACAGGCTAGGTAAGTACTCTACGACGGAGCTAAACACCAGCCCTACAAATAACTTTTATTAGGAAAATACATATATACTGACTTACCCTTTTCTTGGAAAATTTATACAGAGTTCCTGTTACTTTCAAGAAATTCAGGTATATGGTTCTGTAGGACTCAAGTCAGAAAAAATGGAAAATCTTTGGATATTTATCAGAATCACCTGGAAATATGCTAAAATAGATTCTAGGACTTGATTAATAGAGTTCCTGGTTTATTAGATCTGGGTTTAGAATGGAAAATGTGCATTTTCCTGAGTCTTCAGGTGACAATGATGTTGAATGTCCAGGGATCAAACTAGGAGAGCACTGTTGTAGGAAAGGTGAAGACACTTGGTTTGAAGTGCCAGCTCAACAAGGCTCCAACGGTTCATATACCACTGCAATAAAAAATGAACTTTTTAGCTGGGTGTGGTGGTGCATGCCTTTAATCCCAGCACTCAGGAGGCAGAGGCAGGAGGATCTCTGTGAGTTCAAGGCCAGCCTGGTCTACATCGTGAGTTCCAGGACAGCTGGGGCTACAGGGAAACCCTGTCTCAAAAAGACCAAAAAAAATGAACTTTTAGATAAAAGTCTTCAGTATCTTCTTTATAATCATTTAAAATAAAGTCAACTGAATGAAAAAAAAATAGGCTCGAAGGAGAAAAGTGAATGTTCTTATGCCCTCATGCCCTGCAGGTCTTTGTAGTTAGGAAAGCAGATGAAGATCACAGGCCTGAGTCCTACATCCTCCCCTGATGAGTAGTTCTGTGAAGTCTCCCTGAACAAGGCCTCCTGTTTTTATTTTTCTACCTGGCACTTATTCCAAAAATGCCCAAATGGCTCATGCCTCATTTCCTCCAAATTTATGCTCACCGGGCCTCTTATCAAGTACTACCTCTTCCACGCATCCTGTACCGATATAGTATTTCTCTTGTTCATTGTTCATACTGATGTAAAGTCCTGAATGAAACTGAGTATATCAAGGACTGGAGAGAGGTGATTTATCAGTAGTTAAGAGCACTTGCTCTTCCAGAGGACCTGAGTTTGGTTCCCAGCACCCATGACAGGCAGCTCACAACTATCTGTAACTCCAACTCCAGAGGATCAACACCCTCTTCTGGTCTCCATATGCACATACCCACTTGTGGCATACACTCACAAACATATGATTGAAAATAATATTTTATTGAACATATCATATATCAATTAAAAGACATTAAATAGATAAAAACGTTGCTCAAAGAACTGGACGAAATAACCAACTATAAAGGCAAAAGAGATGTTTTCTGTGGGAGTCGCATAGATCTACCTTTGTATTACTGCTTGATGGTTGCCCCAAGCTGCTTCTTTATCTCCCTGATAAGCTATTATGTTATCGTCTGGAGTAATTTTTCTCTTGTTCTTGGAAGAAAACACACAAACTGGCAAAGGGCTTCATATGCTTCAGGGCTCATTAATTTTAATTGCATCATGATAATATTTTTTTTGTTCACCATCAATGCACACGTTGTCTGAACAGCTTTAGAAAACAGAATTGTGTCTGGATATGCAGCCTTGGGGTCCATCAGAAGTAAGATATTTAGCCTCTGGGGGAGCATGTTGATCTTTCTTCATGAAGCCTGAGACAATATATGGAAACATTTGAATGACTACTCTTCATATATCTAGTCAATACTCCAACCATTTCAGAACTGAAGAATCCCTTCTTCTACATTTGGACATGCTTAAGTATTTCCCAGAGCACCATAGCTGAGAAATCTAGATCTACAAAAAACTACATTACTAGACAGCTGTTCATTTACTCATATGAACTCACAGCAGTGGTGACAGCATGCACAAGTTCTATGCAAACTCAAACCAGACAAAGCCCCAGCATAAACATGGGGTAAATGGGTAAGAAATCTTAACCCAACTTAGGGAACTTTTGGAAGCTGATGGCAGTTGGGAGAGGTAAAGATGTTATAGATGGGAGTTCACACAAAATCACCAGCACCACTTTAAGAAAAGTAGCAAGGTAAATGTTTATTTTGACTGGCTGGGCTTTCTATCTCGGGAGTAGATGCAGCAGTGATCATTGTCGGGTCAGAGTTCTTATAAGATTATAGAAATATTATTCAAACAGGACACTTGTGAACCAATCAGGTTTGTACAACATAGCAGAACTTTGAGTCTATTAATCAACAACCAATCATGATACAGACAAGTGATACAGTCATATAACTTGGCAATCAACTTTGTAATTTTAAAATTAGTCAACTCCCTAGCCATAACAAGTATAGTAAGGGAGCTAAAATCAGCAGTTACCAGTGGTCATACAATAACAGGGTGGTCTTTTACTTTGTGTCAGGGTGACCTAAGATAGCAAGCAGGTTACAGAAGCAAAAAAAAAAAAAGCAGCCAGATGTAGAATGTCTGAGATTAGCAAGTTCCTTGTGGTTGAACTATTTCTTAGAACTCAAGGCTGTTTTCTCCTTTTAAATATTTCCTATAAGTGGGAAAGAGGTTACTGTTAAAATAGCTATTCTGAGAAAGATGGAATAACTTAGGGTAAGTTGCTAACATAGTTCAAAGACAATCATGCAGGGTTGTGACTTTTTCTTTAAATTTTTTTCTTTATTATTTTTATTTTATGTGTATGTATGTACTGCCTGCATGTATGGAAGTGCACCCGTGACGTACAATGCCCGCGGAGGACAGAAGAGGGCGTCGGATCCCCTAGAACTGAGTTACTGACAGTTGTTAGCTGCCCTGTGGGTGCTGGGATCTGAACCCGGGTTTTCTACAAGAACATTTAGTGTTCTTAACCACTGAGCCATCTCTCCAGACCCAGAGTTGTGACTCTTGGTGGGCCCAGTGACTGGATCTACACTGAAAAACATTGGAGGACACGGATCATACTGTATAGGCCATGTTAAGCATGTAAGAGCATTCATTGAATTGGGCAACTCCCAACCCCCCAAATAAAACTACATTACCCAAAATGCTGTGCGTTCAACCGGCACTAGAAAGGCGGGGCTTCTGGCGCCTTATTGGCGGCCATTTTGACGTGTTTCCTCTATTTTCTACCTCGCGAGAGGCTCTGAGATGCCGGGTGACCTGAGTGAGAGACAGAGCAACGTTTTTTTTTCCTTACAAAGGTGGAGCTGAGGCTGAGCGGCATCTCGCACGTGACCCACATGGCGACCGCCGCGTCCGTGTTTCCACTGCACCCGCAGAGTCAGATGGCGGAGGCAGCGCTGGGGAACCCGGCTCAGGTGAGTGCTGCGTCCCCCGAGCCTCACCGCGGTCCTGGAGCCCAGGGAGCGGCCTGCTCTGGGCTCTGCCATCTAGGGCCCGGATCCAGGAACGTGGCCGTGCTCGTGGGTCTGTGTGCCACGATGTGGAAGAATGTGATAAGCAAAAGGGCTATCCAGTGCAAAGGCTTTGAGGTGGAGCTAACCTGGGAAGATTCGGAGTTTTCGGCCTTATTCTATAGGAAACAGAATATGAAATAAGAATCATGAGAATTTTGCCTTCATGTAGAAGAGTTTGGAATATGGGAGTTTTAGAAGTTCCTCAAAGACTGTTGAAAGGAAGAACAGAGTGGATAGGATGATGAGGACACTGAAACATTGTTTGTAGTATATTTTTCAGTGGCCGGGGGCTTTAAGAACAGCATTGAGCCAGGGTAGTAAGAATGCTGTCCAAGGTCGGCTGATTTCATAGCCGGTCAAGAATATAGGGAGACACAACCCGCTTCAGCCTCATCATCCCGCATTCGCCTAGTTCTCCTATTTCCTTGGTTCTCATGGCTGTAGAGGGACCTGTGGAACCACAGAATGAAGTAGAGAGTCGTTCAGTTTCCCTGGCTCCAGTTTCCACCCACGCGTTCTCCTGATTATTAGTGCTCTGGGACCCAAAGCACCAAATCTGTGCAAAGTGGGGAACAGACTGGGTAGTGGAGGAAGAAGGAAGGAAAGTGCCGTTCCTGTAGTTCCTGTTCCTGTAGTTTTTGTGTGTGTGTGTTGTGGTTTTAGTGCCTCAGAGAAACTCCCAGATCCTAAGTCTGTGCCACAGATTATTTGGGGGGGGGGGGGCTTTCTGGAAACCAGTGTAAACATCTGTGGAATGTTATGCCCAGAACTGTCACCTGGATATGCAAATATGTAGTCATAAACTAAGTTGGAAATTAGGGAAACAGCAGAGCTGTTTTCTTTTAGGTGAGAACAAGCTACAGTGCAAATTAATGGGGATAGCAGTGTGCAATGGCTGCCTGAGAAGCTGGGTGTCATTTCTGGAGGTGATAGGAAGTTTGGGTGAGAAGAGAGAGATGACTTTACTAAGTAGTAAAAAGACTCCATCTGTGCAAAGTGGGGAATAGACTGTGTGGTGGAAGAAGAAGGAAGGAAAATCAGGGTAAAGGCTACTGTCATAGACCTGAAAAGGATTAATGGACCCGAGTCATGACTCAGAAGGTGTCATTACACTCTGAATGTGACCTTTTAAAAAGGGCAACAAAATTTTCTAATGAGAAGAAATTGAAACAGGATTAAGGGATGAGGAAGTAGTTTTCATAGGAATACAAGTTTCATCAATGGAAAAGGAGATGTTAGTATTAAGAGTAATATTCACTGGGATCATCAGAAGCTTGAATTAGTCATGTTAAGAGATTGAGATGTTTCAGAGACCAGTAAGTGGCAGAAGTCAAAAATGAGGGAATTAAAAATAATATTTTGAACATTAAAAATGATCAAAATCAATCAGTTTTTAAAATTTGCTTAGTGGTTGAGAACAGAGAGATCCAAAGTGTAGTGTCCATTGTGTGGGCCAAGGTGAGTGAGCTGTGTATCATATTTAGGATAGACACTCTTCAAGTTGTCACGGGTATTACTAAGGATATAAACTCAGCAGTAGAGTACTTGCCTAGCATGAGCCAACTTAAATGTCATTTGAAGGAGTCCTTCCAGTGATTGGATCTAAGGACTGGGCCTGTTGATTGAATAACTGTATGATAGTATTGGACTTTATAAGCAGGTAGAAAAGGTAAGTATTCATGAACATAGATAGTTTGGCAAATGCATTGGCTTTCATAGAAGGTTGGGAGATTGATGGAGATGTATAGGTCTATTTGAAGGATTGTGGTACTCAGGCTGGACTTGGTGACATTTTCTCACTGAGATTTTATGATGTCTTTGGGGCCTGGGACATTTCATTCAGTCTGTACAATAAGGCCATCTGTGATAGTCACTTGGCCTGAGTGAGTGAACAATGGGTCTGCCTTTGCTTTTTAAATGGGTAGAGGAAGGTTGACCAGCAAGTGTGGAACAGAAATAGAACAGGCTCATGGGAATCTGAGGTGAACACATCATCTCTGTGGTTAAGTCTGTGGCAAAAATGGAGCCAGGGGCTCTCATAGGATTTGGGTCTGCTGCTACTAGTGGGAGCCCTAAGAAATCTAGGCTAGGATTAGTTTCTGTTTGAATTTGTCAAGCATACTCTGGGTGTTTTATGCTAAGGTACAATACAAGGCTTAAAATTCAGGCCCAAGGGGCTGAAGAGATGGCTCAGCGGTTAAGAACACTGGTTGTTCTTGCAGAAGACCCAGGTTTGAATCCCAGCACCCACATGGCAGCTAACAACTATCTGTAACTCCAGTCCTAGGGGATCCAACAGCCTCTTCTGACCTCCACGGACATTGCATGACACGGGTGTACTTACCTACAGGCATACACATGAAATTAAATAAATAAATAAATAAATAAATAAATAAATAAATAAATAAAAAATTCAGGCCCAATATTTTTGATGTTTTGATGGGCTAGTGAAATTGGAATGATATCAAATGCTATAAATGCAAATTCTTCTTTCCTGCATTTCTTTTGACAACATCTCCCAGTAGAAAGCCGTATTTATCAAGGGTGCCAGGAGTAGTTTCTGCTTATTCTTCTGTAGGGGATTTTAGCTTCCCGCCAAGCCATGGAGTTATCCAAACTGGATTACTTCATCCTTTTGATCTTATAAACCTTGTATCCCACAACCCTGGTGGTTCAGATTTTTTGTTTTGTTTTGTTTTGTTCCCCTGAGCTGTGCACCAGTCCAGTCCTCCCAGGTTCTGTATGCATGTGATTAGTGAGCTGCTATTTAACCTTTTCAGTGTCAGACATTATGTCTTTGTCCATATCCATAAGGCTAAGATGGAATTCCTATTCTCACCCATGAAATAAATAGGAGACGATTAAAGCAATAACATGTTTTTGAAATCCAGACGTCCTTGGTGCATTGCAGTAATATGGCCATAGTCATGTGGAGTGAGGATCTGAAACCTGTGTAATCTAAGAAAATGGTGTGCTATAAGGAAGGGAGTGACCCTTACAGCCCTTGGGGCTGTTATCCAGACCCAAATGACCTTATTATGTATTTGAGGGATTTGCTTGAGGGAGGGTGATACCTCCTTCTATGCCAGGGCTTTAGTTTAGTTTTCTGTATTCTCATTTGCCTTTTACTGCTGTTGCACATTGGACTTTTGAGAAGGTAATGGCACTGGAGCTGATGTCTTTTCATCTTTGATGGACATGAGGTAACTGCATAGGGGAATAGATTTTTTTAAGGACTGTTTGCAGCTTACTTTGTCTCCATCATAACAGGGCAGTGTGACCTTTGAAGATGTGGCTGTACACTTCTCCTCAGAGGAATGGTGTCTTCTTGAAGAGGCTGAGCAATGCCTGTACCGTGTTGTGATGCTGGAGAACTTGGAACTTATAACCTCCCTAGGTAAGGCCCATAAACCTGTGTATTCTGAGCTATTTTGTACCTTTCCCCCATTTCCTAGGGAAGTCTCACAGAAGGATCTGTTCTTACCACAGAACTATATGCTGTGCTTCCCCTTAGTTCCTGTGCACTTACTATGATTGGTAGGACTGTTGTGTACATATCTTTTCCAACATAAACTCCTATTTATCCTTAGCCTTGCAGGAAACGTTTTACTTTCAAGAGTCATATAGTCACCCTGATGGATCCCTCCTTGCTTACCCTTGCTATGACTGAGTGACTTCTAGCTTTTACGCCCATCTGTTCCCTAAGTTTTACTTCCTTTTTCTGACTGGCAGACATATGAAAATGCTGCAGGAAGGAAATAGAACCTGGGGCTTTATGAGTGTAGCGAATGTGGGAAATCCTTTAGTGAGACCTCTATACTCTTTTAGCATCAGCGTATTCACACTGCAGAAAGGCCTTGAGTGCAGTGCACGTGGGAAATTCTTTATAGCAATCATGGATCACTGTCATTGGCACTGTCAAACACACAGGCCTGCGCTCTTGCAAAAAGTCCCTCTGAAGTTCCTTTGCAATGTTTGTGGTTTTTGGTTCTCTGAGATGTCATGTATGTGCTGAGTTTTTTCTGGGTCAGTGCTGTGTGCTCTTCTGTCATTGTAGCACCCCGCTTCCTCTTAGAGCTTTTATCATCTAGGTGTCATATACATAACTTATTTGTCTTAGGAGTGAAGCAGGTAGCCATCAGTGGTTCATGGGATGATTATAAATCCAGTAGCAGCAAGGTTGGCTGAAGTAGCCTGTTGCTGCCTAAGAGAACGACTTCTGGACTGGATTTTAATCATAGTAGATAACTTATGCTGTTTTGGTGCAATTGACCACAGGTCATTTCCGCTTCTCCTGTTACTGTTCTTGACACTTTTCCAGTTTGTTAACTCTTCTGTTTATCACTTCTACTTTTACATCCAGCCTAGAGGTAATCCCCACATCGCCGGATACCACATCTCTCCAGCTTTTCTCAGTGCTCCATTTGAAGTGCTCTCTAATGCTTACACAGTCTTGAAGGCCAACTGCTCTGTTGAAATCCTTTTTTCTTGGGTTGGACACACTGTTCCACACACAACTCTTGTCACCAACAGATAAGTTTCTCTTGAAATGTCTGCCTGTTATAGAGGATTGAGGTTTAAACCCTCTCATCACTTATGTGTCCCTTCATGTGCTCCCCCTATTCTGTCTTTCTAGACTACTGTTTCTAAGTAGGCCATGTAACCTGACTCTAACTCCATCCTACAAACAATATCATGGATTTGTTCCTGTGTTTACTAGAGAGTCGGCTCCTCCCCATCGAAGTCAATATGCACTAAACTATTGTTTCTTGCTTTTAGATTGTTGGCATGGCATGGAGAATGAGGAGGCACAGGCTGAGCAGACTCTTTCATTACAAGAAGCGTCCCAAGTTGATATTTCCGAAGACAGTCTGTCTCCCCAAAAGGCTCACACTTGTGTGATGTGTAGCTTGGTGTTGAGAGACATTTTTCATCTCACACATTACCAACAGGGAACAAATCTTGGTCAGAAATTGTATAGGTGTAGGGCATGTGGTAAACAGTTGTACTATGAGCAACTAAAGCAGCTCTTTGGAGAGAAATGCTTCAGCAGCAATGTGGACAGAGCCTTGTTTGTGAACAGCAGTGAATCCCATTTGACAGTGGAGCTCTCTTCCTGTAAGGAAGTTAGAAAGGACTTCCTGGCCAACTCAGAGTTTCTCTATCAAGGGGCCACTTTCACTGAGGAAAACTCAGACAGCAAAAGTAATCATGAGGCCATCTATCACTATGGAGAAATTCATCAAAATTTTGGAGAATTCACAGAAGCATTTGATAACAAACACATACTTATTCAGCAGCAGAAAACCAACTCTAAACAACGTTATGTATGCGATCAATGTGGAAAATCTTTTAACCAAAGCTATAGTCTCATTTATCATTGGAGACTTCACACTGGTGAAAAGCCTTATAAGTGTGAGGTATGTGGGAAATCCTTTATTCAAAGTTCTAACCTCATTCAGCACCAGAGTGTTCACACTGGAATTCGACCTCATGAGTGTCAGAGATGTGGGAAATTATTTAGTATCAAGTCCAACCTCATTAAACATTGGAGAGTTCACACTGGAGAGAGGCCCTATGAGTGCCGCAAATGTGGGAAAACTTTTAGAGGAAGCTCTGCCCTCCTTCAGCACCAGAGTGTTCACACTGGAGAGAGGCCTTATGAGTGCAGCGAATGTGGGAAATTCTTTACTTATTATTCAAGTCTTATAAAGCACCAGAAAGTTCATAGTGGATATAGGCTCTATGTGTGTAGTGAATGTGGGAAATCCTTTACTCAGAACTCCAGTCTCCGTAAACATGAGAGAATTCACACTGGGGAAAAGCCTTATGAGTGCACTGAATGTGGAAGATGCTTCACCCATAGCTCTAGTCTTACTAATCACCGCAAAATCCATAGTCGATAAGGCCACATGAAGGCCAAAGCTCCCACCTCATTACACACTGGAAAATTAGCCTTAAAAAAGTCCTTATGAACCCCATGTTGGCAAAGCTTTTTTTAGTCTTTGATTTCTTATTCCTTTCCTCCCACTTAAACTTCATTGTATATATGTTTTTATGTAACCTGCTTTACATTATTTCTGGAAAAATGTTAAAATTGCCTCTCTTTGGAATAGTAAAAAATATATTGATGTATAAAATGAAATTAAAAGGATGTCTCACATACACACAAAAAGTCCTTATGAAAACAGTGAATGTGAGAGTTCATCTGAAGGCTGTATTTCAGTGCACAACACATTTAATAAGGAAAAAATACCATTGATATGTAGGGGTTTGCTATGACAGCCCTGGAAGGATCATCATAGTTCTTTCTGCCTGAATAAAACCTTATAAATCAAACCATAAATTATGTGTTTGTGAGAACTGTATTGTATTTTAATCTATTGGCACTTGGCAGATTTTTTGAGACAGGGTCTCCCTGTAACCCCAGCTGTCCTGGAACTCACTATGTAGACCAGGCTGGCCTCGAACTGAGAGACCCACCTGCCTCTGCCTCCCGAGTGCTGGGATTAAGGGTGTGCACCGTCATGCCTAGTTACTTGGCAGATTATGTCACTACTAGTTATATAGCAGAAGCCATTTCACGTGTACCCTGCAGCGGGAGCCTATGACATTCATTTGGGTAAGTAAATCTCAGTGTTCTCTTACTCATGGGAGAAATTTGTAAGGAGCTTGAGCATTCATTTTTAAATTATTTCTTTTTAATCTGTTAGGGCCTAGAGTATGCTGCTGGTGACTTAAAAAGATGCTCTTCTTTTCAAGGATATTCTTCATTTCAGATGACTCGATAAAATTTCCCCACCTCAAAATCATCAACTGGGAACTACCTTGACTCCCATTGGGCTGATCTATATAATAACACACATTTGTAATTAAACCACCACTTTCTTTGGGAAGTCTATTTACTGTTTGGGATGCTTTGAAGAAAATTAGATTCTTCCAACATGAAGAAGTGAACAAGTTTTGTTGGAATCCCAAACCCTGTCTCAAAGAGAAAGAGGTGGTGGCAGAATATAGCTCTGATTTGGGTCTAGTTGCTTTGCTGCCTGAGGTCTTCAAGGAAAATCTGCAGGGTGTTTTCTTCCTTTGTATCTATGATGCCATGACAATGTAGGGTCAGAGATGGTCTGGGAAGAGGGGAAGGAGAGAAAGGCAGTTGGGACAGTTGGTTGTTTCTGAGATCATGAAATGATTGTATTAATCAGGGGTTACTGTTTCATGGTTAATTCTGGCTAGGGAATCCTAGTCCCTAGGTCTGTATGCTGTAATGTCCTGAATTCCAAAGGGCATCACAGTTTATAAGATTGAAATAGGGGTTGCAGGTTTTACAAAAATACTGAATTGATGGAGACTGGATGAGTCCACCACAAGTGGTTGGAAGAGCCTGTTGTACATGGGGCTCCTGTGTCTTAGTTGCTCTGTGTGTGAAGGATGAATACTAAAATTCTCAGGACCAGAATGCTCTGTTGTGTAGCTGAGATCATTGTCAGAGAAGGTAGTCTAAAGGTTTATTTCTATAGCCTCCGAGTTTTCATCTCAAGGCTACTGACTGTGCTATACAACAAGATTAGAGAGAAGAGGGAATCTTAGTTCACTGATGTGACCTCTGCACAGCTAGCATTCATTCTTGCTGAGTCAAGTGAAGATAGTCTTCGTGTGTCTGTGTAGTCTTCATGTGAGGGAGGGACACACAGAAGGTGGTGGATTGTCAGACCTGACTTCCAAACCTTGGAAATCTAGGTTTTTGTTTTGAACCATGGTTTCAAGCCTTTTAGTAAAGCATCAGTAATATGCAATAAGCGGCACATACTTTAGCCAATAAGTTGACTCATATAAACCTATAAAAACTATTCTTGCAATCATAATAATAAACCTATCTATCACCCACACATGTACTTTGTACCTTAATATTTCTCTTTCTGTCCTCCAGACAACCAGTATTTCCAGATTGGTTGATTTGAATTTTATAGTATTTTATGTGATTGAAATCATGAAGTGTTTTCTTTGGCGGGGGGGGGGGGGGGGCCGGGGGGTTTTCAAAAGTGTATTGTGATATTCATTAATTGTACTTTTATATGTAGTTCTTCTAGAAAGTATGGTCTGCCATTTTTTAGTTTCCATCTGATCGTGAATATTTTGAGTGTATAGTTTTAGGTTATTGAAAATAAAACCATTAGAGACTTTAAGTACAATTCTTAGCATAGATGTGTTTACTTTCTCTTAGTACCCCATAGTACCATCCCTGACTCACAGGGTAGGATTATATCTAACTTTTTATACATCTTATAAGGTGATATACTGTGATCACCCCACCAATGCTGCCTCATATCTCCATTCCACTCCTGTTGATCCCATTCTTCCCACCTAGACCTCCTCCTGCTTACCCCCCCGACTCTCGTGTGTGTGTGTATGTGTGCACATGTATGTGTGCACACGTGCGTGTGTGTGTGTGTACAGGTAGTCACAACTACGTGTTCATTATTGCAACAGCCATATTATTTCTAAAACACAGCATTTTCTAACACTCCTCCCATGTCTCCAGCTCTTATAGTCTTTCCACCCCATCTTCCACAGTGTCCTCTGGGCCTTCAGTGGTTGCGCACACAACAGTGCCTTACTCTAATCACTTTAATGAATTGTTAATCTTTTGATCCTTACCCACTGCTAAAAGAGGCTTCTTTGACAAGGCTTCGAGCTGCACCGTTGTATGGGTATAAACATAAGTATTTAAAAGGCAGTTACTTGTCTTTAGCAAAACAGTAATAGATTTCCCATGGGGCCGAAAAATATTAGCCATTGGCTTTTGACCAGGTTTATACTACAGGGTGTGTATTCCCTCCAGGGGTGCAGGCTGCCAATCCAATAAGGAAGTAATTAATTACCTTGGAACAGTCACTATTATTACACCAATTTCTTGAACAGTAATATTGAGTATTATGACTAAAAGAAAGAAAAAAGACTGAAAGAGATAAAATTTGATGTGCAAAAGGGGATATAACATACCAGTGTAATCCATAAGATCATTAGGGAATATTTTAAAGAATTATATACTAATAAATCAGAAAAATTTAGAGGGAATAAATATCTTAGACTCATATGACTTATCAAAACTAGAAAACATAGATATATTAATAAACTATTCTATCAAAATTAAAATGTCTTCCGACAAAGAAAAGCCTAGGACCAGATGAATTCAGAGCTGAATTCTACAAGACTTTTAAAGAACTAGTACCACTGCTCCTCAAGCTAAATAATTCACAAAGGAATGAGCCCGTCTCAGATCATTTCACTCCAGCAAGCTTAGCCTAAAAGATCATTCCTTTTACCCTCTTTATTTCTCAAAGTTTCCTAGAAGGGTTTTAGCCACTGACCACTAGTCACTCTTCCTCTGACATGGTGGAATTAGAGTAAGGACAGTTCCATCCCAGGAATAAGGGACATTCAAAGCCAAACGACAGGGTGATTAATCAGAAATATCTTCAGAAAAGAAAAAAAAAAGCTCAGAAATAAGTATATGCAGAAAATGACCAGAATCAAAATGGAATCACTTTTCCAGCCTTACCAAAAATGAAACAAAGCCAGGCAGTTATGGACAAAGGGCTCTTATGCACCCTTCTACAAGCTAATTGTACTAAGAAGCCTGGTCCATTTAGATGGACAAAAAATTGCCTATTCTCACTGATTCCAGATTTGTTTTTATGCTGTAGTTGGTGCCCACCGGAGCCAGTGTGCAAACATCCTCAAGGGTTGAGTTAGGACACCTCATGTTTCTGTTCTCTACAGTTTATGACAGCAGTTTCACCATTTTTTTCTGAATTGAAAAATTTTAATTTAGCTAACTTATAACAGTTCTGTGTCTTCTCTCCAACATTGCTCCAGCTTTAGTTATTTCTTCTCTAAACATATCAAGCATATTTACTTTGCTTTATGTAGTCTTATAATTTATCCGGATTTTAATTTTTTTTTTTTTTTTACGATTTCACATATAAGCCTTACATACTGAACACTCACCTCCAACCTCCCTACCAACCCTGTCTACTCTTCCCCCTCCTCACAATTCTCATGTCTATTAATTCTGTTTTGTGACCCACCAAGATTAACCAGAGCATCTGTGTGACCATGGAGCCTGTTGGACTCAGCAGAGAGCACACAACTAAAGACAGCTGTACTCCCTCTCCCAGAGTCTATCCATAGCCACTAGTTCTGAGGTCAAGGATAGGACCCCACAGGCTTACGCATCTGCATCCTTTTACTAATATACTTCAGCCAGGTATAAAAGCCCCGCCTGACCCCTTGTCATGTACTAGCTTCCACTGGCCAGCAGACTTGAAATTGTTTCCACGTAGGTACAAAACCACATCATTCCTATAGTCCAGGGTTATTTCCTGGTTCACCAAGACACAGCTGGATGAGTCCATGAACCAGAAACCCTCAAGACTAAGGAATGAGCGGAGAGGGCTCTTCACAACTGTCCTTTTTCCTTGTCTCTGTTGTCTGAGTGTTAATAGCTAGATCTTTATTTAGAGTCACAGAACTCAGATGGCCTTTCTGACTTCTTTTCTTAGTAACAAGTCACAGGTCAAGTCTTACAAATCCTGGAGAAAACACATGCTACAGATGATGATGACCCTCCTCAAACTTTATATATGTAGTGTCTTCAGCAATAGAGTCATACCATCAATTTCTGGTGGGTAACCAAGAATAGGGACAATGGCCAATATTGTTTGAGAGTCTGTGGGACTTCTGGTCAACAGCTTCAAAAGCGGGAGACTATTCCTGGCATTTGGGCTTTTACTTTGTCTGGCTGGCTTTGAAAAACTAGTGATTCTTTTAGAATTTCATACAATATATTCTTTTCATATTCATCCTCCCCTCCCCCAATCTCTTCTCAGATCCATCCCCACCTTCCTATCCACTTCACTTATGTCCTCTGTTTCCTTAAGGCCCAGCAAATCCAATTGGCGTTCTCCAAATACTCCTGTGTGTGGGTCCATTTTTTGGAGCCCAGTCAATCTACCCAGTTGCCACACACTTGCAGAATACTGACTCTTCTCCCAGCATCTGTGAGTTGCCAGTAGCCTCAGGGCTGGGGCTTCATGCCCACCTTGTTCTTCATGCTGGGACTGTGTCTGATTTAGGCTTGTGAACATTGTCATAACTGCTGTTGAGTTCCTACATGCAATTGCTTTGCTGTGTCCAGAAAACAACATCCACCCCCTCTGGCTCTTCCAGTTGTTCTGCCCCCTCTTCTGTAACACTTTCTGAGCCTTTGGGTGGGGGGCGTGTAGTACTCCATTAGCAACCCAACCTCAGTATAGTCCCTTCATTTGTAGTTACACTTTTACT